CTCCACATCGCACCACCGAACCCTCCCTGGGAGGATGAGGCGGTAGTGGACCTGAAACCCACACCGACGAATCAAGACAGCACCCAACCAATACGCAGGGAAAGCAAAGCAAAACGCCACAGGAAAGAAGTGGAGGCAATTCTTAAACAGGGAACCGCGGAAGTAATTTACACCGACGCCGCGAGGAACGAGGACGGAACCACGGCCATAGCAATGCACTCAGCTGGCACCGGAGAATCAAAAAGCAAATATCTGCTCAATAGCAGCAGCACAAAAACTGCTGAACTATTGGCCGTACACTGGGCCCTTGAAGAGCAGGTTCAGTGCAATCCGGCCGCACACATGTACGCCTACACGGACTCCAGCGAAGCAGTCAAGGCGTGCAGAAGGACAGACTGTAGGAATAAGATTGCGAAAGACTTCAAACATACAGCTAAGATCCTTCGCCTAAATGGAGGCAGTTTGCACATCGCATGGATCCCTGGACACCAGGGAATCCCGGGAAACGAGGAGGCCCACGAGACCGCGCGGATTGAGCTACAAGCATCCCACGCCGCATCAGGTCACGAGGGCTCCCCTGTCACAACCCAACCAGAAGATCTGGACCTCGATAAACTGAAAGAGGCAAGTAGAACAGCTCGGAAACAACGACTGGCATCCCTGCTGCCAGAAGAGGCTTACCCTCTTCCATCCAATTACTCAAGGTGGGGGAGGGTATGCATTCGACGCATCGCCACCGACACAGCCCTAACACCTGTGCTGAGGAGGAAATTGTATACGTCACGCGAAGACGACCCTGGCCCCGACTTTAACTGCAAGGCTTTCAAAACCCCGGCTACTTGTAAACATCTCATATGGGACTGCGAAGCAAACAAACAGCCGAGACAAGACGCACTCCTCAGCATTCCGGAAGATGCACGACCTCAAACATACGAAGAGTGGGTAACCCCCCTGAAAGAAAACGCTAACAAGATCAAGATCCTGGACTCTTTACTCATCTACCTTAAGGCAGTAAACTTCAGACACCTCACCTAGAACGAAATCACTCGCTAGGAAGCGCCACATGAGCGCTCCTTCAAGCGCTCACGTAGCGCTAACTTAGAGCTCCGCTGTATGTGTGAACAGGCCTTTAAGTGTTGGCAATTAGTAGTGAGTGCCCGTGGTGAATTCCCGTGATCGGCTCCGAAAAGAATACTCACAACTGTTGCGTGAAGAGCTGCCTCAAATGTCCTGCATCTGAAAGTGGCATTGTGCGGCAGGGGTTTCAAAAATGGAATCCCATGCCATTCAGTTCAGCGACGTATCGCCCACAAGTTTTTTAGAGCGCAGCTCTTAGGCGCCCGTTTCTGGCTTGAGCGGCGTCGGCATAACCGAGCGGTGCATTATGGGAAATGTCCCATAATGCACCGCGCGAGCCCCCACCCCCCCGGGGACACGTGACCTCGGGGGGGGGCACGTGACCCCCTCCCCAAGGTCACGTGACCCCCGATGACGTCACCGGCATCCGCATCGTCACTGATGATGTCATCGGTGACGTCACTGATGATGGCACCGGCCTCCGCACTTCATCGTCATCACTGATGACGTCACCGGCATCGTCATCATCACTGATGACGTCATCAGTGACGTCACTGATGACGTTACCGACATCCGCATCGTCAACATCACTGATGACATCAGTGACGCCACTGGCATCCGCATCGTCATCACTGATGACGTCATCAGTGACGTCGCTGATGAGGTCACCGACATTCGCATCGTCACTGGTGACGTCATCAGTGACGTCACTAATGACATCATCGGTATCCGCATCGTCACTGATGACGTCATCAGTGACGACATCATCGGCATTGTCCCTCGGGGGGGGGGTCACGTGACCCCCCCCCCAAGTACTCTTCCCTCCTCCTCCTCAAGAGCTGCGCTCTAATTCGGCGTTACAAAAAGTTGTAAACGGCTTTCACTTTTTTTCTCGGCGATTATTGTAAAAAAACACGTAAACATCGCAAAATGTAAAAAAAATCTCGAGGTACACTTAAAGGAGCTGTGCAACAATTTTTGTACTGTGCACAAATACCGCTTAAAACGGATCCCTAACGTTAATGACCTATGAAACACGCGTTCGTTTTTTACCCCACGCAATAGAAGTCTCAGAAAAAAATTTAAGAAAAACGAGCAGCGTTCACCCCCTCAACTCGCAGCCAGAACAAGCGGCCACGTGATCTGGAGCCGACTATATGCCGCCAGTGTTGATCATAGCCACGCGCTGGGGTTGGCAAAGCGCAGGACACGCGCTGAGTTCCAGACATTGTTATGGCTCGGCTGTTGTCGTCGTTGCAGCGATTGGATACGGGTCACAACCCGAATGCTTTTCGAGCTAGCAATTGTCACGAGCCCAAGTCAAGTGCCCACGCAATGCTCGGGTCCAATCTATGAACCGCATTCAAATATCGTCACTTGGGTGTACTGCGATCCCCGAGTTACGTCATCAAATTTTGCAAAGGAGAGATTGAATGAAAATGATCGCTTTTGTCCTCGAAATTACACCGCAACAAAGGAGTTTCTTGGCCAATGGCGTTGCGTGTGAGTATCCTTGAGTCCCAGGTGTGCCAGTAAGCTCGTGAAGAGAGAAAAACATTCCAATTGAATATCGTTGCACAGTTAAGCATTTCTAATGAGTTGTAAGCGCGAAAGCATGCAAGCCGCTCGTCCGCTCCCTTTGTTGTCTGCTCGTCTGCTCCCTTTGTCGCCTGCTGCGTACTAGAGCGCGCGCGCTTCGGGACCTCGGAGGCCATGGCGCAGCGGCAAATGGGAGCCCCATCGACGCGCGCCTTCCAATGGAACCGAAGGCGACAGCGAAAACTAGGAGCCGTTTTCGCGCTTCAAACTGATGGCGTCAGCTCGCTCCATAAAACAGTTAATGTTTTCGCATTAAAAAAAAAAAAAAAATGTACGCCCAGTTAGGGATCGACCTCGTGCCCGGTGCATGTGAAGTGGACGTCTTTCCACTGAGCTACTGAAGGAACTCTTTCGTTCGTTGTAATGCAGCCGGTCGGCTGTACGTCGGAAAGTTTGCTGTTCTTTTGATCGGTCCAAAATTTCTCTTTCGGGGGAAGACAGGATTCGCCGGTACCGTGAACGACAGTTCTGCAGTAGAGGTCCCACGCCCGTCGTCCGCTGCCATCCGCTGGTCCCAAGATACGAGAAACGACGCCATGTTGAGAATTATATGCGGTGAACGCACAGAATGCTTCCGATTGTCTGTGCTACCTTTTTTTTTCAATCAACGTATTTGCAGCTTTTTGGAAGCCACAAAAAATGGGGTTTATGTATTTTTTTTTATATTTCTAGTATTGACTGTGCCTTCAATGACCCGCGAGTTTGAGTAAATTTGGTGGTCGCTCCTAAACCTTAGAAAACGGCCCGTGACCACAGAAAAGAGAGAGAGCGCGACTCAAACCGGCCAATTCTCGATCGGCGGTTTTCGGCGGCTCTCATATGTCACGTACAACTAAAAAAACTCGGCGAGCATAAATACGGCCTGTCAGTGTCCCTTTAACGTTTTTCTTAGTTGTTATACAATCGCCGATACATGCTATTTTTTTTTTTTTTTTTTAGTTAAGAAATTTGACATTTGTGCACCTTATCTCTTTGCAATCTCCGAACAGGAAAAAATTGTACGGAACACAAATGCCTTCTTTAGTTACTTATTCTGAGGATCTAATTTAAAATGCATCTCTTTCATTTGTTCAGTATGCTTATTCCTTCTTCATAACCATATCATAACATAGTCTATGTAGAGTGCTTTCCACGGAACATTGCTGTAAAAAAGACAGCATCATATAAAAAAAGTAATTAGTCTACTTAAAGGAATACTGAACCAAAATTTGGATTTCACAAAATGAGGCCACAGAAACGTTGAACAGAATGCTATGAACTCCAAAACCTCAGTCATACATCGGTATATCTAACGAATGGCCGTACTTTTGGAGAAGGAGGGCGCGATCAAGCAAGGGCTACGACGCCATTTTCCTCCTAGAAAATTTGAGAATGAGGGGAAGTGGCCTCACTTCACCAGCTCGACGGGACGCAGCGAGGGGAATGAGAATCGTGACGTCTCTTCGGCCTTGTCGACCATGTCCAATCGCGCACTTCTTATGAAATACGGCGGTCCATTATTCCTGTGCGAGTGATGTTGTCCGGTTTTGCAGCCTGTCCGTCCAGTCTTATTTTGCGAACTTGAAATGTCGGTGTAGTATTCCTTCGAAGGGCGCCTAAAAAGAAAGATTCTTCTTTTTCTTTTTAACAGACTAGTTGGCACACGCGTCAAAAAAATTAATTTTATGCGAAAAAAAGAAAAATTTTAGAACTAATGGCGGCGCAAGACGAGATTTAGTCGGTGGTCACCTCTTTTCCACTTGTTTTCTCTCTCAGCATTTCGGGCGCATGGAGGAGAGGTAGATCGGCTTGGCCATCACGTTTAGGTGGAGAGTTCATGACCATTAAGGTGTAAAGAGTGCATGACCGTTCCACTTCCGAAAAATAAAACACTCTATGGTGTTTTGCTCCCGGTGATAGAACCGTACAAATGCGCTGCCACCTTTTTTTTTTTTTTGCATGACGGAGGCATACACAAAGATTGTATCTTATTTCAGCGCCTTTCAAACAGCCCAGTGTTTCATTTCATTCAACACTGCAGTCATTAGAAAAACAAAGGAAAGTATGGATTCACGAAAAATGCTTTGGGTGTATAGGCGAGCGGCATATCAATACATGGAACATGATGGTAAACCCTGGAATGGGTGGAAAAATGCAAAGATAGTGAGGCAAAAAAAGGGGGGGGGGGGGGGGGGGGGACAAACAGATATGTATAAAGAAGTACACATTGTTACTGACATACTGTAGTTACTTGCACACCTGTACCTTGCACATCTAGTCTTTCCTAACTCCCAATGACTTGCTCAAGTGTACTCAACTTTTCAAGGCTTGGGACGGTAGGAGTCTTTGAAAGAAACTTCAGTTTAAAATCTTCAAGTGTCTGAATGTACTTTAGTGCGTGTGTGTGCATATTTCTAGCATTGCTAGATGTTACTGGATAGCCCATCATAAATATATCGCAGCTGTTAATTTGGATTGGGGCCATGTGCATGTTTTTAGCATTGGTAGACGTCACAGCTGCTAATTTCGATTGGGGCCAGGTGTAAATGCAGCAAAATCTTGGAAGTGGAGCCCGAGGGAACTGGACAATATTTTGCACAGCTGAACTTTTTCAGAACGCCCCCGTTTATGGGAGCTGCACGTAAACGGAATATCACCGTAAAGTGAAGAGTGTTCGACACACCGCTTACAAGTTCAAGAAACCAAATAAAGCAACCCTAAAGTGTATGCGACACTCGGCAATTTTTCGTAATTGCTCGAAGCATGCCACTCCTCATTCTCAAAAGTCCCAGTGCAAATGTCGCCAGTATTCAGCAGAGCACTGTTGCATAATTCTTGGAGCATACCGGCTTGTCCCTGAGCAGTACTATAGAATGCAAAACGACATCCACTGCCTGTCTTGCAGCAGAAAATGAAGAAATGCTTCTCGAGCCATTGAGCTTTTTATATGTGATAACCCTTTGTTTTTACAGCGGAGCTGTTAAGGGCTATTTTCCCCAGGGTCGTGTCCTCCGCAAAGAAATTTAGACGCAAACCTCTGGACAGCTACCGCCATCTATGAGCGACGGCAGCAACCAGACAATCGGCTTCAACCTTGCTTATATCGGTGGCAACAACCTTTCCACTCTGGTTTTCACCAGAGAGGAAAGGCTGAATTTCTCTACGCGTTGTCCTTGAGGTTGTCCAAGAGGTTGTCCTCGAGGTCGTCCTAGAAGTTGTCCTTGAGGTTGTCCTAGACGTTGTCTGAGAGGTTGTCCTCGAGGTTGTCCTAGAAGTCATTCTTGAGGTCGTCCTAGACGTCGTCTAGATATCGTCCTTGAGGTCATCCTCGAGGTCGTCTTAGAAGTCGTCTTTGAGGTCGTCTTTGAGGTCATCTGACCATAGTACAGCTTCGCTGGTCTTCCCTCTTCACCAGAGTGGAAAGGCAGAACGTTTTCTTTTTACTGGTGTCATGATGACCTCTATTGCAACCACAGCTCCTACGACTGACTTCCCCCCAAGATCGCTCTTGGCGCAGTCCACGAGAAAGAGCTCGAGACATCCGGTGCCGATTATTTTATCATGGTGCAAGATTGTGCAACCTTGCAAAATCTACAGCTGAGATGTCCGAGTTCACTCGAGTTCAATTCTGCAACACAACAAAACCACAGGCACCTGCGACAACACCTTTTGAATAACAGTGCCAAACTTTCGGCGTTGCCCCAAAAAAGCCTCGGCCAATGCTGACTCAGCGCTTGTGTCCAATTTATGTCCCGTATCGGCCTTCTTCGGGTGGCACCGAAAATTTAGCACTACAGCTTTACTCTCTTGGAGGTGTGGCCCGCAAAGATACATCCCAACAACCTCGAAAACAGAGTGGGATTTGTCGCAGTTGCAAGTCCGTTGAGCCTCGGCTACGGCCCTCAACTTCTTGCGCACTTACAGCGCGATCGTAGACCTCAAAGCTAAACCGTTCCGCGTCAAACCTGCACCGTCGCGGCACGCCGGGCGGCTGTGGTCGACGCTCACTTCTTTTGCATCTCCTTGCAGCAGATGACATAGCGCTGTGCCACTGAAAGCAGCCGCGAGTCCTGAAAGAGGATTAAACCGCCATGCATATCGTGGTCGTCTGCAGATGCTGGGTGGTCGCCGGATTCTGTTGGGGCATGGCTCCAGGCAGAGGCATGCGGACGCCTGCTCTCCGTCAAACGTCCACCCAGAACGGACCGGAAGTGAAGAAAAAATTACGCTTCCTTCCGCTAAACATTACGAACAACACAAAATCACCACGACCAGTGCGCTCCAGGGACGGCCCTCTATGCATACCGCACACCTAGCACAGAACGAAACCGTTTCGCATCGAATACATGCCAATGCAACGCAAAGATGCCCGCGGTCGACCCTCACTTTTTTCAAGTCTTGCAGCGGACAATGTAGCGCCGGGCCGCGTCTTGATGGACAGACCTTGACTCACAGTCGCACACCTGATAGTGGATGAAACCGTTTCGTACCAAACGCGTACCAACTCAGGGACCCCTCACTTCTTCCGCATTTCCTTGCAACAGATGATGTAGCGCTGCGCCACCGCGAGCGGCGGTGAGTAGCCCTCTGGATACGACGAGTCCTCAAAGAGCACCAGGTAGTCCTCCTGGGGTCCGCCGGGCGGCTCATGGACCTGCGCGCAATAGAAGCAGGTCGTCTGCGGGTACAGGGCCATGACCAGGGCCCCCTTGGGGAACAGGGCGCCGGGATCTGTGGTGGGGTTGGCCCTGAGCAGGGGCAGGGGCACCACCCGTCGCCGGCTGAGGGTGTGGCGCTCCTTCTGCTCCTCGTCGATGTCGTCCACGTCGTACTTGCAGCTGCCGTGGTTGTAGTGCAGCACCTCGGCCAGGATCCAGTTCTCGTCGTCGTCCGGTCCACGCGCCAGAGCGGCCACCATGTCGCCGACCTGTGGGCATGGCGGAATGTTTGTGAACTTTCTCAGAAACACATATTAAGGCAAAAGTCTTGTACAGTCGGCACGGAATGAAACGCGAACAGTGGGTGCATGGTTTTCGCTAGATGCTGCACCACCTGAACCAGATGGGAGCTGCAAGAAGATGGCTCCTCCTTCGATGTGTTAGACTCTTGCTCAGTGCATCCAAACCTTCGGTGTTGCGTCTCTAGGTGACTCAGCGTGGGTTGAAAACCAAGTACTCCATGTTCGCATTTCATTCTGTCCCGACTGTACATCCGATCGTTCAGACGGCCTTCAAAGTCCTTGAGCTAAAACACATCAACGTAAAAGGCACCAAAACGTTCACTTGAGCATTCATTGGATGACTAAGCAAATTAAGATGATGACTCAGCAGATTGAGAAGGATGACTCGGCACCAGTGGCGGATACAAGGGGGGGGGGGCGGGGGGGGCGGTGGGGGCAATCCCCCCCCCCCCCCGGGGTTCTTCGTCAGCTCGAAGAAAAAACGTAAGCAATCGACGCGAGGGACAAAAGATTAAAACAGCGGTGGGTGGACGCGCCTGCTGGGCACTTCCAAAGTGGGGTTTATCTCCGTCAAGGTCACGGTACGTCTTCCCGACAGGGACGGCGCCAGGAGTTTCGAAGTGGAGAGACAGTGGGGAAGCGCACCAAATATCAGGGTCCTCGACTGCAGGCACACTTCCCAACAAGGCCAGCACGTCGAGCACGGGGGGAAAATAGCTTCAACATATCTAGTCCCCTTTCTCTCTCTCTCTCTGTCTCCCTCTCTCTCTTTGGAGGTTGTCTGCGAAAAATTTGTTCACTGAAAGCGTCCAAACGCAGACGCCAAGCAGCCTTCCTCAAGGGTACGATCCTATACACAGAGGATTATCCTTCCTCTCTAGCGGCCGCCTTTGCATCACTCGTCGTTTGATGGTTTCTTCGTGGTTCTGGGCTTGTCTTTTGGCATGTCTTTTTTGGCTTGCTTTGAGATGCTGTCGCCCACGGGCTCACTAAAGGTATGTTATTGGTACGGTGTGCTCATTGCCAAGGGAAGTGCGGAGGGGACGTACCAGGAGGAGACGTTCCAGGGGGGGGGGGGGGGGATGCAGCTTGTACAACCAGGAGACCAGTGGACCTTTTTCCAGTAAGGAGTGCCTCCATGACGGTTTCGGCGCCTACTACAAATGGAGGGCAACCGGACTCGCCTTTTCCCATAGGGAGAGATTAGTGTCGCAAGAAAACAGTGCCCCCCAAGAATGGCGAAAGGGCGGTCAAGGTCAAGGGAAAAGGGTGTGCGCGTGCGCAGACGCTTACTGAAAAAAGGTGAATTGCTTTTCTTCTCACCTAAGAGAGGAAGCAAATGCTCTGGGTACAGAGTAGTCTAGGTCTGGGCTTCTCCTGAAGACGCTCCGGACTTCCCCACGACCTTGGCTTAAACATAAGCCCGCTTTCGTCGTTGCCTCCATCCCTCACTGAGGATCAGCGCCGCAGCGCGGAATACAAAAAGAAGACGACGAGCGCCAGAAGGGGGAGATGTTTCGTCTAATGGGCTTCATACTGCTTGCGGTACGACTTCTCGTGGCGGGAAGCTAATTAAAGAAAGATAAACGGTACGAGCACTCTAAAGGCAGCGAATATGTGTGTGTCGAACGGAAAAGAGGCGGGGCTTGTTGGTTTGCAACTGCGGCTTCGAATTCCCTACCTAGGGACTTGGGGAAAACGAGCCCTTTCAAAGATGCGACTATACATAAATTAAATAGACAGTGCCTGTGCCCGTTCGAGTTAACACCGACTCCCAAACATCCATGCTGCAGTCGTGATCGGCCTTTAGCCCAGTTGAGATTCGTCGACCGGACAACCGCTCCGCCCCATCATATCTCTCCACCTGTCCTCTCGACCTTGACGAATGAGCTAACTACCCAAAAAAAACAAGCAAGTGCTCCTTTCATACAGAAAATATCCAGACGAAGTGCAATTTAATATAATTGGGAAGGATCCATTGCTGGTTTAAGGTATTGTCTAAGTTTAAAAGTTATAGTTGCCGAACTGCAACATGCTTTCAAAAATATTCAACAATTATTCGCTTTCGTTCTGTCGAGTTGCATCCAGAACACGTGAAAACACGAGTTAGGGTTGGCAATGCCGCATGTGCTGCGCTCTGGAGATTTCAAATATACGGCGAACAACCGACGAACTTGCCTGGCAGCGTTCCTTTCGCTCGCTGCGTCAACAGTGTTTTGACGCCGCGAGCAGCGTCGAAGCCGCCGGGCCATTTTTATCGCTTGTTTGCAACATACTCGCTCCATTGAAGCAACCGGCGACAATGAAAAGTATGTTTTAAAACCACGTTCTGCATTTTGGCACTGAATATAAAGTTCTAACTACTATGCCAAGCTTAATCTCAAAGAACAGCCGAGTTTTAGATTAAAACGTTTTTCGCATTGTTATTAGCTGCATGAGCTTCCTCCGTATAGTTGGCAAAGGTTGGCTCTCCGTACATGCTCTGCGGGTGTAACAAGAATATATAAATATTCAAGGCAAAAGGAGCCCAAAAGTTGTAGCCCCGCCGCGGATATCTGAGCCATCAAGTTACACTGTCTGCAATTGTCACAGCCGCTATAGCACCTAACATTCATCCCCAGTAGTTAAACTTCTTTTTCTATTTCTAGCGCGCTGCCACGCGAATGGAGTAATCTCGTTTTCTATGAACTACGAAATTCCTTGCGTTATGGTGTTCAGAAAGGATAGTGCCACCACAATTTTCTAGATACTTACCTCTAGCGTGGTCACCCGAAAGGTTTTAATTCAAAGAGTTCATCCCCGACAGGTAAACCGATACAAAAGCTCTCAAGATCTATATTATGTTATCAGCGTTTAGTAAAAACGATAACTCCACAAAAAATATAAACACCTCCCCCCCCCCCCCCCCCCCACCATTTGACACCGAGGAACCGCCCCCCCTAAAATGGAGGTCTGGATCCGCCCCTGCTCGGCACATTATGAAGGATAACTCAGCCAGTAAATTGTGTGTCTGTCTTTAATGCATCGGCGCATGGGCTTTTGTCTTCAAGTAATCTTAAGGGTAACAAGAGACATTGTGAATGTTTTCTTAACCCTTGGGAGTGCCAAGTATACTTGTTACATGGTTTAAATTTGTGCCCGATTGCCTCGCCTGCTTTTGGCAAATGTACATTTTTGTTTAGGAGACTTCTGTTTCGGTTTGTTTCTCCATTGTTGCAGAATCGCGAATCCGCCATTCAACCTCGTGCTTCGTGGCAAACTTGGGGATCTATGAGAACTCGAAATCCAATGGCCATGAAAACGAGCAAGCTACAGTCCCTCGAGCTGCAAGATCGAGGTACAATTTTGCAGAGTGCCATGTCCCGAAAAGTATGGCTTGAGACAAATGTCCTAGGTTGGAGCTACACAACGACATTGATTTTACGTTGTTTTCGTAGGTAAATTTTTTTAAAGAGCAAACATATTTTATAAAACGTGCTACCGCATCACCGGGAACGAGATTTGCATTAAGCACGGCGAAGAAAACCTGGCAATCAAAAAGCTGAAGGGACGCTGAGGAGGTTACTGAATTTGGAAAAAAATTCAAGTTTGAATGTACAGTAGTCCTTTTAAAAAAAAAGAAAACATGTTTGTAAAGTTTTCTTTGTATTTCATTAGTAGGAGTATCATAATCTTGCATTAAAATTTCGACGTAGTCCCGCCCGTTGTAGAGCGCTAAACGCAACACAAACAAAAACAAAAACAAAAAAAAAAAAAAAACGGTATGTTTAGCACTCTATTCTACCCATGCGTCGAAAGTGGTCCTGAAGTGGCAACAAATGACGTCACAAAAGCCGAAGCGTTGAGCACGAGCGAACGCGAGTGTTGTCCTGGCGTCCCGGCTGCGTATAGGCTGCCGAAGCTTCCGTGGATTGCAAAGCTGGAGGGCAATCTGCGGCAAAAAAGGCGTCTGCCACATTCGCTGCCGTGAGGCCGCCAGGATCGCGACCAGCGACAGTGCGACACGTGCATGACGTCATAAGGCGGAAATCGAGGGACCATCTTTTTTGGATAGACGGACCAGTTGGAGACACGTTCGTGGCACAGGGGAGCAAGAGTGCGCTGAGAAACGCTCATTACTGAGGATATGAGGACAGCAGGAAGGAGCTTCGGTTGACCTGCCGCTAGCGCAAGCTTCCTACCTTCGACGACGCCGTCTCGTGCACCTTGAGCGCATGCGCGCAGCCAAGGCACTGTGAAAGGCAATGCGTGCATGCCAAATGCCAGGCGCTCAAAAGACATGTCCTGCCGTTCTATCAGTGTTTACGGCAAAAGTGACGACGCCACGCTTTAGACGTAGATGGCCGGGGGCAGAGAGGCTTGCCCGCACGCTTTGCGTCTATCGCTGCACGTTTTCTCAAAATAATGGCGGTTTACGTTCAATTCGACCCAATTTAAGATGACATACCTTGGCAACCTATTTGGGCTACTCGCAAAGGTCACAGATAATTCTCTGACCCCCGAGAGCAAAACACTTTGGCAATGCACTATTTAAGCTAGTTAGTCCAAGTAAACAAAATTGTTTCATTGTCCCGTTGCAGCAGCGCGCCATGGCTAGGGAGTTGAGCTTAGAGGGACCATGAAATTACCTTTTTACTTTTGTTAAATAACTTTTACATTAAACCTTCAATGATCACTGAACGCCTAAGAGGCTTCCGTTTTCGTTTCGGTTTGTTAACGTCTACAGCAGTGGTTCTCAAATGGAGTTCCGTGGACCCCAAAGGGGTCCGTGAAGGCATTCTAGGGGTCCGCAAAGCCCCGCATCATCAGTAAAACCCGGCAACAAACAGTTTTTTTTTTCAGGTCGAGAAGAAATGTTTTAGTTTTCAGGCGAGTTTTTTTTTGTTTTTTTTTGTGTAGAGAAAGTGAAGTAGCAAAGTCTACTTCACACTTGCCATTAGTTATATACACTTATTAAATCATTATTTTACCCTATACCCCCCCCCCCCCCTTCACCACGAACGGGGCCCCTCATCATCTCCACCGATCCACAAGGGGTTTGCGAAACATCGATTGTTGAGAACCACTGGTCTACAAGAAAAATTATTGAAATATTAAGTTCTTCTTCCTCTCCAATTACTGACCGCAAAACAAGCCGCGGCGTAATTTTGACGGTTGTGACGTACTACGGCACTGGGCAATAGGAGACTGGGAGCGTTAGTGGCGAGCTGGTGGTGCGCAGGTAGGTTTTACGACATGATTTTACTGCGCTGATGGAGCCGTTGCCACAAACATTTTTTTCTGAATCGGCACCACTCATCACCGCGATAGCCATAGACACATCGCAGCTGAGCGAAATTTAATTAGATATCTCGCGCTACAGTGATAGTATGGGACTGGTCCCATACGCCGGTACGAAGCGCAGCAGGTCGTCAGCACGACAGCCGGTTCTCCGACGCCATCAGATGTTTCCGCGGTATCTCTAAGAAGGGGACGCGGTGTCACTCACTGGCGTAGCAGAAAATGCAGTGTTCTATGGGCTCAAGCTTTAGTAACTTTATTTAGTTTATAAGTAACTTTATTTAGTAAATATAAGAACGTAGTGAGCGCAAGTGTTGCTGTCACCGCAGCGTCCCAACACCTAGCTGCTGAAGCATCCCCCCACTGTCGAACTGGACAGTTGTCAAGCTGGAGTTTCAGGTAAATCAAGCAAATCGATCGACCAAAGTTCAGGAATCAATTCAAAACGGCACAGAGGCCCAAACCCCTCACACTCCGAAGGCGCAATGGCAGGCAGACGTGCAGACTCCAAACAAACGAGCAAATGGTCAAGCTACCAGAGTTCTTGGCGGCAATGCGACGCTGGTTGCGCACGGTGCGTATCTCGAAGATGATGTCGAAGCCTTGCGGAAAAGCTCCTCCTCGCTCTCCGCGTCCTGGAGGGGGCCGTCTTGTACTAGCCGCGCAGCTTCGACTTGTAGTACGGGGAGAGCTTCTGCTCCTGCTGAATCCGCTCGTGCGTCTTGCTGATGTTTGTCAGGTTGTGCTCGCTCCGATTTCTCTCTTCCTGCATTCGGAAAGGCGGGGCATGGCGTACAGTGAGAGAGCACTCAAAATGCGTCTTCGGCGCATTTTGAAAAGAGGGCAACATAGAAAATGCGCAGGGAATGCGCGACGATGAGGCGGCCGAGTGCACATCGTCATTGGTTGAGATCAGGGGGGGGGGGGAACAAAAGCATAGGAGAGGCACCTTTGGCAAGCAAACAAACACGCCAGGTCTGCATAGAGCATACAAACTTGCATGCCGTACGCTCACTGACACACTTGTACGGTGCTCACTACAAGTAATCAAATTGCTCGTAATCCATTACTTTCTGGAGTAATTCTGCAATCATTTGATAAATTTTTATTAGGAAGTAATTACAAGAGTAATCCGACTACTTTTGAAAGCACTGAAATTACTCGTAACCCGTACCATTTTTTCTCTTCTGAATGGCACCCCCTTTTCTGCAGGTTCCCTACCAGGGAAACGATTCCCTGGTGGGGAACTCGTAGAAACGAAACGAAAAATATAGACATCCGTTCAAAATACGAAGGTGTGACTGTAATAAACCAATGTTGTTGATTATGGTTAACTTGTGTCTCAATGTGAGGGGTGTACGGTTCAATTTTCATTCCAGCGTTTCTCCAAGCTCTGTGGTTAGGTTTGGCGTAACGAACCTGCGTGGATTGCAGTAAGGAGATTCTGGCGACTCAATGTTGCCAGATCTTTACAGGGAGGACATAACATTGCAAGCACGCATACGAGGAACCAGAGATTGTGTGAAAAGGCTCGAGGCAACCCTTGATGTTGCATGCGTGGCATTCAAGGCCACTTTCTACCCAAGCTAATTTCAAGAAGCAACAACTTGTGTGCTTTACGCATGGGATTATAAGTTCAGCGGCATACCAACTTGTTCTTGAGTGGGGAGGCAAACCGGCGGGGGGGGGGGGGGTATTTCTTGGTTGTTGACGGCCAGTGTTTGCCCTCCCCAGTGGCGGCTGTTTTGGGGGGGGGGGGGGGGGGGGTGCAAACCACATGCCTTGCCCCCCAATCTGAAAACTGGCAGGGGGGGGGGGGGGGGGGGGGGCTACTGCTTTCTTGCCCCCCTGGTTGGTATGCCCATGAATAAGTTGAAATCGTCTTGTTAGTAGAAACCCCTCCCAAAAAAGAGGCCATAATGTGAATTGTCCAATAAGACAAAAATGGGCATATTTACCCGGTTCATCTCCAAAAATGTCTACACAGTGGAGTACCCATATTCCCACGACATGACTGTACTGCATACACTTGCCTGACACTGCGTGGTGACATGCGACAGCTCCCACAGTTTCTCCTGAATGACAGCGTTGTCAGCTTCTTTCTGCATGGCTCCCGCGTTGGACACAGTCTTCTGCTACTCAACTGCTTTCTGCTCAAGGTAGCGCAGAGACACGAACAATCCAGCATATATGGCGTACATCCAAGCCACAATCCTGCAGTGCTGTAGGTAATCTGGAATGCAGGAAGCAGGTTTGCTGAGACCGTCTTTCGAAGCAAGGTTCGTAAGACGAGGAACGAGCCTTACGAAAGCACGATGTCTGGTCCTATTCCTCAAGTTAATTTTCTGCATTAAGCGGGAGACACATGTACGACGAAACCGTCCGATCCGACGTGCGGACTGCCGGAATGACCTTGGGGGGAGAGGGTGTTCGTAGCATCGGAGAGCGTTGAAAACCCTCGCCTCCGACCGTCGTATTGCGCGGTCGGACGTCGGATCGGACGGTTTCGTCGTACATGTGTTTCGCGCTTTATACTGTCAATAGTTTGGTGGGCACTGGGTCTACATGATTCGATCAATATAGAATCACTTTCCGAAATGGGAGAATAGTTTACTTTAACGCTAGAGTACTGTCCGACGGCACTCTTGCAGAGCGTTCATGTGCCGTCCGACGGTACTCCACCCAGGCGTTCAAGTGCCGTCCGAAAGTCTCGTATAAAACGAGTTCTCAAAACGGGTTTTTCGAAGCGGAGTGCAGCTTAGTGGTAAGATGTCTGTCTCATAAGCAAGCGCTTTTGAGTGGGATCCCCAGTGTGGCCTTACTTTTTTGTTTTCTCAAACATTTTATTTTGCCGACGCATTTGGCGATATTTACCTTTATTTTTTTTACCATTAACACAGGAAAAAAAAAACGAATGTTGTTGCAAGGAAATGGTATGGGACTTCATTTCCGGAGGTGCATGTGGTACAGCTAGCGAGGCTTGTTTTGATGGCTGGACGCCGCGGAGCGGCGTGTACGACAGAGCCAAATGGGTAAATAGTTTTGCAATTAGTAGTCGCATACTGTCGTCACGAAGTGGCGTGAACGCAGGCGGGGGGGTGTGTTAACGAGCTCCCCAGTGATACACGCGCCGTCCGACTCTCTTTCGGACGGCACTTGTAGGCGCGATTAGAGTGCCGTTGGACGGCAATGTAGACACAGCCTTACTTTAAAAGCCGAGCGCCAGTGGACTCGTTCTAGATGTCAAAATGTACAAATATAAAAAGTTAAATCTTGTAAAGAAAAGGGCCTGGAAACTACATGTAGGATGATTCAAGGAGACGCCAGGCTCTTTAAATCGACCGTAAAATTCGGTTTCTTAACCAATCGCACTACGACTTTGTGCAGCGTTGCCCACAAATAGTGTCTTTTTTTTTGTGTGAAATTTGTAAAGAGCGAACTTACCTGAGGAAAAAGTAAAGAAAGAAGAAGGCTTAGCTCTTATGGAAACGCAGCGACGCCACCGGTCTTCAAACAACACAGCACCGTTTCGCACGGGAGACAAGAGAAGGCGCAAGCGATTGCGACGCCAACTGCCGCCAACGAACGAGCATACGACGCCGAGAGCCGGCGTCTTTAGCAGACAAGCAACTGCAGTTCCTTGTTGTTACCGCGCCTGTTTTTGTTTCTGCGACTGTCGCCGCCTGCAAAACGCGCGCCGCTTTTGAGTCGAAAAGATTGTCTGCTAAAGACCCGTTCACACTGGACAATTTCTTGCGTTTTCTTACGTTACGTTACGATACGAATTCCTTAAGTCGACTTAAAGACGCCGGCTCTCGGCGCCGTATACTCGTTCGTTGGCGGCGTTCGTTGCGCCATCTGTACCCCGTGCGAAACGGCGCCGTGTTGTTTGAAGACCGGTGGCGTCGCTGCATTTCCATAGGAGCTAAGCCTTTTTCTTTCTTTACTTTTTCCTCCGGTAAGTTCGCTCTTTGCAAATTTTACGAAAAAAATGCACCATCTGTGGCCAACGCTGCACAAAGTAGTAGCGCAATAGGTTAAGAAACCGAATTTATCGGTCGATTTAAAGAGCCGTCTTTTTGAATCACCCTGTCTCAACGCAAGGGAAAATGTGTTCGTTTTGCGCAGTGCAGATGAAATGTTGTATAGAAAGCAGGGCATTTCTAGTGCAAGGAAGTGCGAAAAGGCACTCACTTGAATTATCAAACACTCAGACAAATTAACTTGATCTTTAGAAATAGACTCGTCGCTTCGTTTACCGATGTAACTAGTAGATTCCGCACCTTAGTACAGTCATTGAATTCTTGCGGCCTTCGAATGCGTTGAGGGGTTCCCGTAGTTCCCACGTCGCGAAGTCGCCAACTTTAGCCTAGGTAGCTTACGCAGATGTTAATAAGCCGTTAAAAAACATGCCGTTTTTTAGGAGACGTTTCTTCAAAATGCACTAATATTGGAAAGCGAAAGACTCTGCACCTCCTGTCGTGAGTCACGACACACTGACACAGGCGTGTATGGGCGTGTACCCCTCTGACCACAGCCAGCCACACTGCAGCCATAGCCATACCAGCCATACCAGCCATACCGCCCATCCGCCCATAGAGTTATTATAATATACGCTAGAGGTTCAAGAGGCGCTAGTGTGCTGTCGCAAATTGTTGCAGACAGCAACCAGTCGAAAATTGACTTCCGGTAATGCATTTCTATGGGAAAAAGTGGGCGCATTTTAACCCTGCGCTTGATCACAAGAGCAAATATCCCAAATAATTCGTATGTACTAAGTAGCTTGGAACATTTCTCAGTCAGGCTGATGAGCGCGACTCCGGCGACCTATAGAGGGCGCCACCACCAAATAAACAAGGCGGCTGGGTCCAGGTAGCGCAAGGACGTTTAAACAGACAGGACCCAGCACAAGGACATTTAAACAGACAGGACCCGGCATGACGTCAGACTGAGTGAAGCCGGAAGAGGCGTTTAATCCCAGACTGCCTTGCGCACCCGTTCCGGGGCCGTGGGGTAGCGCATGCGGTTCGTCTGCTTTCTAATCTGCTCCGGCGTGTGCTTCACGAGGCTAGCTTTCGATGCGGTCGGCGTCCGCCGTGGGCGTCCACGATGCAAATGCTTTGCAGCGTGAGTGTTTATACTTAGTTCCACATTATGTGCGAGCGAAGTCAGAACTGGAAGCGCGAGCCCGTTGTTCTGTGCGCTCCTGGCTTGCATGGGCGCTCGAGCGATCTGCTGCTGCTGTTTATTAAAAAATGCGTTGCGCACCGCCAAGTCCTTCAGGGTGCGTCGTCTAGAGCGTCTCAATTCTAGTCACTTACTTTCTGCTGGGCAACCAGGCGTTCGTTTATAATAATCTCATCCAATTCCGACCATACCGGTTTAAAAGTCTCCCTTAAAGGGGTACTCCGCCGATTTTTGAGCTACCTCAACTAACTATATTTTCCGACTCCCCGGCCTTTACCCTTTCTGGTACGCTATTTAGTATTGTGAAATTCATAATAGTTATTGCGAAATCGGCAAATGAAAATCATGCAAAAACAAACATTCAAATATACCCGCCCTTTTCAGGGCCGTGACGTCATTGGAAGGTCAGCTTGCCAGTCGGGCGAGCAGTCTAAAAAATAGAATATGCCAATCATTTGTTCCGTGATGGAGCGCGGGGACTGGAGCAAGCTTCCAAAGCATTCATTTGACACCATGAAACTGCTTCGAACAAATTGGGAACAAATTCTACAGTCCAAAGAGTGAACCCCTGCACTTCCACTGACGTCACTTTTTCATTGTTGCCAGTAGAGACTTTCAGTTTGAAAAACACGGTGAGGACCAAAATTGTAAATTCAATAACTTCGTGAAAAAAAATTATTTTGACCTAATATTTGGGATACTATTTTGGCGATGTTTGGCGAGTTTAACAAAATTTCAAGCAAATCGGGGACTATGAAGAAATCGGCGGAGTTCCCCTTTAAGCGCTGTTTCAAATAACAGTGGGTGCCGCCATTACTTTCGGTGCACACAGTCGTGTTGCCACGGAAATGTCATGGCAACGCGGTTGTTTGCACTGAAATTAATGGCGGCGCCCACTCACTAGGCTTCCCATTGGTCAAGAAATGCTCGTTGCGGCCATAGGTCGGCATTTTAAGCTGTCCTCACTCAAACTCACGATCACTATTTTTTCCTCAATCAGAACTCACGCCCACTCACGATCACGATTTATTCAAAATAGGATCATCACCCGGACTCACCCTCACGGCTCAACGCAAAACCAAAACTCACTCGCCGTCATCATCACGGTCGTCACGCTCACAGATCATCACGGTCATCACGCTCACAGGTCATCACGAATCATCAGACTCACAGGTCATCACACTCACAGTTCCTCACGGTCCTCACACTCACAGGTCATCACACTCACAGATCCTCACGGTCCTCATACTCACAGGTCATCACGGTCCTCACGGCACTCACACTCTCAGCTCCTCACGGTCC